CGCATCATTCCTTTGGTAAAGACTGACTTCTGGTTTTTCACACAGTGCTCAATGACAGATTGTTGAACGTTCGTGAGTTTTTCAAGTAGAAGATCTCTCTCTTGTTGGCTTGTGCTGTCAACTGGCAGCTGGAGATTGGCGTTTACCTCATCGGATCGGCGTCTCGCTGGCAGGCTGCACGCCTTCCTCATCATGTCTTCAGTCAATGGCTTTGCGGCGTATTCCTCGATAAGCTGTCTGCACCGATCTCGAGAATGCTGCACTTCGAAGGCATGCTGTAGACGAAGGGCAGCAGCAACGCAGGGGCCGCTTCGCAGAAAGTCCTTGAGTTCGTCGTTCTTGCCGAAATAACCGTCCATGTTGGCGTCTTGATAAACCTGCTCAATGACTTGTGGGTCGATGAAGCGAGCCTTCGGCTCCCAGACAAATGCTCTGCGATACGCTGACTGGAAATTACTCTCAGTGACGCCGCTCAGTGTGAACATGCTGTTGACCTCGTACCGGAGCCAGCAAATCAGCTCGATCATTCGAGTGGACATTCCATATGGAGGCCGGCCAGCAATGCCGTCCGCGGAACAGGCTTTCTTGAAAAGGTCTTCTCGCATCTTTCTGCCTGTTTCAGGCTTCTCCTGCGCTGTGAGGATGAAGCAACCTGCGCATTGCGATACCTGTTTCCTCATCTCTTCCTCGTTGTACCATATATTTGGATCAATGAAACGATGATTGGGTCCGTAGACCGCGTCCAAATGGCTGCTGTAAAGCGACTGGCCCACCCCTGCACAAGGCATGCTTCGAGGCAGAATGTATGGACAAGGGAAGTGCCACGGATTCGGCAGGCTTACTACAGCAATCAATACTCAGCTAGTTTCTTTCGGCCCGACGCGCCTCCCGGACTCACGCCGATGAAACATCGGACAATGTTTTCGCCACGCTTAGCCAGAGCGATGGCTGCTTGGTTGCACGTGAAAACCTGAGCTGTTTTTAAGATGTCTCTGGGCTAGCACCCCAATACCTAACAAGCGTATACACCGTCTGAGGCGCACAACGACAAATTGAGTGCCTAAAACAGCTCTGCCAATAGAAGCCGAGGGTCATCGTTGTTCAGCCAGAAGGTTTCCGAGTAGAACCGCGTTAGCGACTGTTGAGCGCGCAACAGCACAGGATCATCCAAGTTGTAGCGAAGGAGTGGGTGCGGGATGTGCACATAGATGTTATCCTCCGGCACTCCTCTCGCTGCCGTCACGCTCTGCCCCGGCATCTGGTCATACAGGAAAGCACAGTCCTGGTAGGAGATGCCCGCAGAACGCATGGGTGGGCTGTCGCACCACTCAACAACGAGATTGAAGATCTTGTCTCGCAGCAGCTCGGTCTGCATGGCGTAACCAGCCTTGGATAGTGCATCTGCTAGCCCTCGACATCGCCCATCCGAAGTCGCGACGGCGTTCGGCGCTTCTTCTCGGGCTGGTTCTGCAGCATCTGGAGCCCGACCCCTGCTGCCACCAGCCGGGCGAGGTATGTGGCTGAAGGCAGCATCCTCGCACTCGTTTAGAAGGTTGCTGGCAGAGTTGTTTCTTGTCTGCAGCAGCTCCTGTAAGACGCCCAAAACGTCATCGTCACAGGTGAGCTTCGCGCTTCCCATCAGCCTGAAAAGACCTTCAAGCTGCAGAAAGAAGCGCTTGCAGCGAGCGAGTGTTGCTTGTGGCGGAACCCCTTTGTGAAGCGCGAAAGCTCCTAGGTGGAAAAAATACAAGTTGCCATCGTGGCAGCGCATGGATCGTTCTCCCTCTATAATCCACAGAAGCACCACCAGTTCTCGTAGATGGAGGTCAGCCAGTCGAAGTCGGTAGACCGTGATGGCGCCTGTCACCAGTCTCAATAAGCTTTCCTCCATGTCTGGAATCTTTCGCAGGATGAACTGTCGAATCCGCGAAACCTTAGTGGGTATGCTGGGTTCGTCCTGACCGACTAGCGGAGAAACCTCCGCTAAGCAAACACCAGCGGTCCTGTTAAGGTCGTCGAATAAATCACGAAAAGAGTTCATCGTCGTGTCCGCGCCAGGCAGAAGACGTCTCTTCCTGGCTTGCTCCAACCTGAGGTCGCCTTCTTTCCCTTCCGCACTCAGCGCGATTTCCAGATGCATTTCCAGTTCTTCTGCAAATTCGTCCTGCACCTGAAAAGTGTCTTCCCTGGACACCAAGCCTTGCTCCGGCTGGACATCAGCATCTTCGATTGGTTCCTCGCCGACCTGAGGGAACCAATCCGACGCTGATGCCTGGCTTGCGCCGCCCAGCAGGTCGCTTTCCTTTTCGAGTCTTTCCCCTTGGACGTTGCACCAGGGTTCGTCCAGGGCGGCTCCAAGCGGTTGCATGAGACTGGCCTGAGAAGACCCGCCGCAGAAGTCATGGCACATCACAATCGGAATCTCTTCTTGAAGCAGCCGAAGAGAATATCGGGAAAGACGCAAGTGCATGTGGCTCCACCCGCCCGAATAGATGCGCTCGCGACACCAGCATGTGCCTCCTCTGACATCGCGCCAAGCCGCAAGCATGTCCACGGTCTCTTTCTCTAGTCTAGGAACCTCGTCCACAAATGCTGTCGGATAATGTTCAGGATGACAACAGACAACCATCATACGCGATACAGTCTGGCCATAGTACTTCTCCAACAAATGTCTGTAAACATTGAGCTGTAGCCTGTAGTGAACACCTGTGCAGTCTGCCAGATGAGAGATTGGGGGCCGCATACACTGAAAGGAATGGTACTTGTTTGGCAGGCCGGATGTACGCTTCCAATCAACGACAACCAAACTCCCATCTACCAGGCGAGCACAAAAGTCGATGGAACCTGCTAGTTGTTCATCCTCACCATAGATTGTCCACTCTGTTCGCCACGCTGTTGCGCCATCCTCGAGAGTGGCAAGGAATGAGCGCAACATTCTAACCTCTGGAGAAGTGTCAGGCACTGAGTGACCGTTGATGAGAGCCTCAAAGATGTAATGCATGTATGTTCCGTACTGAGCAGCCTCCGCTCCTGCAGTCGCCCACATAGCCTTGACATCCTCCCTGCTCAGAGTCAACTGCGCAATCTCGTCCTCGATGTTGTGCATGCTGGAGATGGCTCGTAGCATGCTACTGATGCGAATATCATCTCGCGGGCTGCTAGCATATTGGTCTAGCAACTCTGGACATAGCACTCGCAGACGGGCCATGGAAGTGAATGATACCTCGCGCCGCAGGTATCCGGCCCGAGGCCAGTTCTGGCCGTTTACCATGTTAGTAATCACCTTGTCTGCGTCAAAGGGCGTGCAGAAGCTATGGATCACACCGGTGACAGAACCCTTTGTTTGCACCCCATCGATGTAATATCTGTGATGGGATGCCTCGAAGCGAATCTTGAAATCTCTTGGGTGTGCTCTCAATAACCTGAGCACATCCACGTCCGGTGAGTTCTCAGAGTCGAAGGCTGCTGGCGAAGATGGAAAGGAGAACGCTGCCGGCTGCTGCAAAGTGGGAAGGAGGCCAGTCGCCGAGGCTATGCGACGAGCAGCCTTACGCCCACAGGCCTCGAGCCTGGAAGCCGAGATTCTCTTTCGCTGCTGAACATCCAGTGTTGTAGATCCACCGATCACGTCCATGGAAAAGGATGCAGTCTCTCTGGAACGCGGTGAAGAATGGGCCCCCTCCCAAAATCTTTCGCTTTGATTTTGCAGCCGCAGGAATTGCAGCTGAACAGCTGCCGCCGAGGCGCTGGCAAGCCATTCTGCTGAGAATTCCTCTGGGTCAGAGAACTCATCAAGGAAACACTGCCGCCCCAGCGGCAGCTTCGCTGCTTCTGCATGGATGTAATGGTAAAGCAGCTTGTGCTTCTGTTGTTGTATGAGATCCAATATGGTCCTGGCCCTGTACAGGAGACTCTCCCATTGGCGTTTGGTCAAAGCTACCCGCTCTCGAGGGTGCGGCAACAAGTCGACCAGGACAGGCATTTTTGTGAGAGAAGCAGCATGCCGCTGCAGCAGATCACGAATCACTGAAAAGAATTTGTTGCGCTCATCCACGGCTCGCCCAGACGCCAGGTCGTCCCATATATCTCTCGCTGTGATGAAGGCCTGTCCTGACCCGCGCTGATGGGCTACGTCCGGGCCGTCCATGTAAGCCACGCACGTGGCTTTTTTCCTGCATGCTTCAGGCTTGGAATCTGAAAGCAGTCGTTGCTGAGGGCTCTGCAAAAGCGAAGTTCCACCGAGACAATCATCGCTAGGCTTGCCAGGCAGCTCGCTCTCCAACAGGACGAAACTTCTTCTGATGTTGCAGAGGTGTCGCTCCCAGTTTCGTTTCGAAATAGCAGGATCCACAGGTGACAGCACAAGTTGCTTGCTCACGGCATCTCGGTAAGGTATCAAGACCATCATCATACGGGTCCAGGCGTCCACGCGTTTGGCGGCGCGATCCACATCTGAGAGGGAATGCTCTTGCGGATCGCCTTGGTTATTCCGGCGGAGGTTGCTCAACATACATGCTGGATTCACATGGCCTGTGACCTCTCTCGCTCGGTAATCCACACTGTCAGTGTAATGTTTCCACGTGCGAGAATCCACAGTGAGATCAAAGGGATCCGGAACGATGGACCAGAGAGCCGGACGTGTCACCATCTCCTGGATATTCCGCAATGTCAGGGCGCAAACCTGCTCAATTCGGCAAAATATCACGTAGTCAGCTATGGCTGACGCGAGAGCAGGAGATGAAGTTGCTCCGCCAATACAGTCGCCCAGTTGAACAAGCCTGCAACCCGGACACAAGGCCCCAGGCGCCTGCCACCTGTGGTCCCTGCAAACCCAGGAACAGCACCCCCAGCAAACTGCCCAGCGAGGAGAACTCAGAGGCTCCTCGTGGCCGCAGCAGGAGCACCTGAGCAGGGATGCTGAAGACTCACGACCGAGTTACAGTACCTACTGCGTCTGCAGAATCGCTATTCTTTAGTTGGACCGACCAAAATTTCTATCCTCACCTCACCAAAGTCTCAGGATCGACGGGCGAAAGCAGTGGATTCATGGTGGCTGTCTCTGTCGCAGATGGCTTGGAAATAACCCAGATGAATAGTGATGAAAAAGCTCCGGGCATGTCGGCGTATCCTTCCTCGAGGCGAGCCGTGCCGATTTTTTGCCTGTTCAAATACAGCTGCAGTCGATGGGTTGACCAGTTCAGCAGAAACTCGTTAGCTGCGCCAGGAGGATTCAGCCTACTGTTGACCATGTTCGACGGAAAACGCTGGAGAGGGGCGCCACTGTACCCCACCGAAAGTTGACAAAACCTCGTGTAAGGAGCAGCGATTTTCATGTAAGAGCTCCGGTTGCTCGTGATCGCCTTGGCACCGATATAGATGGCCATCACGCTGCGTGGCAGGGTCAGTGAAAATCTTGCTGCTCCGAAGAGGGGATGAGTGCTTGCCCACCCGCTGACGTTGTTGCCCGGAATGTCGAGTTCCTCTGGGTACCAGTGCACGATTGCTTGGCGAGGGATGTTTTCCACACACACCAGCTGTGGAATCTCCATCGTGAGAGATGCTGCCTCTCGGAAGAATCTGGCTGCGTTGCGAATTGCTCGCGGGCTCTCTGCGAGCGCAGGCACAACAAGATTTATGTGTCTGCCCTGCCAGTACTCCTTCTTCAGCACGATGGATTGTAGCTCGCGGCTACAAGATGCCAGGTTGTGGATGTCGTCGTAGTCATCGAATAAACTTGGAATGGTTCTCAGGATGTCATGTGCCCAGTCTGGCGCTGACAGAGATACGTGCTCCTGGTTCTCCTGGTCCACCGTGTCTGCATCCGCGCCACCTAAGTAGTCGTCCAGCTCGGCATCGCAGGGACCATTACACATTCTGAAAGGCACTTCCTCCAAATGACGCCGGCACGCCCACGTGAAGCACCGCGGACAGATAGCCCAATCCCCAGCGGCCAGGCTATCCCTACGGTTGCACTGGCTGCACCGAATGCGTGCGTCCGCGTTAATGGCTGACGGACAAGCTGCAACGACAAGGTCATGCTCCGATATTTCCTTTTGCCCGAAAGCCCAAACATACAGGCTGGAGAAAATTGGAGCTGCCGTCAGCGACTCCACTGAGTCAGCAAGGACGCAGCGGCCATCCAAGTGCAGACGAAAAAAGGATTGGCTCCAACGCAGGTCGACCTTGTGCCGAGTTCCGGCCTGCAACCGATGGCAGCCCGCGTCGAAGTACGGCATTGACGGCAGCCCATGCGTTCCCATCGCCCATGTCAGGTCCGCCCTGTGCAGGTTGGTGATTCGAACAAAGGTTCGACCACTGAGCCGGGGATCCTTTACACCTATGTACAGACCTGAGATGTTGGCGGACACGGTCAGGTGCAAGCTGGCACAGCCCAGTAGCGGATGGGAAGACCATGCACCCAGCATGAAGCCGCCATGCCTGGCCACTGGTGCCACTTTGTCCGCAGTCCATGTGAGCATGGCTTGCTCCGGCAGGGTGTCCAACGTAACCATCTGGAAGATGTTCATGGACAGCGACCTGCATTTCTGCCACACATGCGAAAATGACCGCAGAACTTGGCCGTTGGCAAACTCGAGGCTGTCGATGCTGATGTCTCCTCAACAGGTTGGCGCAGGTGTGTGTGTGTGTGTGCTCCACGTAGAGTTCTCTTACTAGAAGATAGTTTATCGGCAACGGCAAGCATCGGCACTAAAAGTCTTTCTTTCTTTTGTTGACTGAGTTACTTCCTTTCCATTGCCTGTAGTCCCGAACCGCCACTTTCAGTTCGTTGGAGACTGCTGCCAACGCGCCCAGATACTGGGGCGAGAAGAAGTACCCCGGCAGCCATCGCAGAAATTCGACAGGCAGCGTACCTCCGAGTCTGTCACCACCGCCGCAGACGTCTTCCGAGGCAAGGAAAGGTGAGGTGCTGTGCAGAAGCTCCTTGGAGACTACGGCATAGATACCTTGGAGAGAACTTTGCAGCTCTGCGACATCTCGAAGCTGAGCGTCGCCTGGTCGACACGACGAGGATACTGTGCAGGTACCGTCTTCATGCACTCGAGCCCCCATGAAGTGCTGATCGCGAGCACGATACAGTATGTATCGACCCGGCGCGTCCATCTTCTGCACACGAAGTATGGCATACCTTGATCGAGTGAATGTAACAAAGACACCACACATTAGGCACGATAACGTGTGCTTTGATAGCCTACCCTGGCACGCTGAGTCGCCCCAGCGGCGCTACCATGTCGTTGCCGTCCGTGAGCACGCGAAAGGGGCCATGACCTCTGTAGGGCACCTTCACCCCAGTGGAGCGAAGCGAGTCCACGAGGCATGTATCCTGGAATCTTGCATCGCCTCCAGGGTTACAGATGCCAGTACAAAGAGCACGAAGCCATGGGGTTATGTCACGCGAAGCATGTGCTGTTGAGTTATAACCGTGAGTCACACGCGGCCTTTGCCGGGACAGGCCATGGGTGCCATAGCAGTCTTAGCTGATCTGCTCTGTCCAGGAGGACAGCGAAGGAGCTTTTCCTGGAGCTGCTGCTGCTGCCTGTGAGACAACAAGCATGCGCAGAGTGCCTTTACGCCGCAGTCGCTATCCATGCCTGCTGAGGATCTTCGCCTTCGCGACACGCAGCTTCTTGGGGCCATCGTTCCTGGAACGTGCAAGTGACAAGTGTGTTTCTTCAACATGTTGGCCCGAGACGAACACAAAGTCCTGGGGGCGCGCCAGTCTGGAAAAATCTCGATGCAGGCGGTGCTTTTCAGTCTGCGTGCGACGTTGCTGATCAAGTTGTCACCTGCACGGGTCGACTGTGACAAAAGGAATTTAGGTTGCTGCGTTCCTCAAAGAAGCGATTGTGCGCTTGACACTAACCGAGTCGAGCAACACCAACTCGGCTGCGAGCCCCGCTTCTTACCCAGGTGCCGCCAGCTGGTCCCTGGGTCTCGAACGGTGCAGGCGAGAAGGTGATTACACACTTCGAGTGCGAGTGCCGAAGACTTTACTGCAAGTGAAAGGCAGCGCTGCTCAGGGCTGTCTTCGACGTCGCATTGCCGGCCAGCTCGCTTCAGAATGACGTCGTCCGACAAGGCCAGCCTCTTGTCACACCTGATAAGCAACTGGGCAGAACAATTACAGCTACTTCCTGGCGCTGCAATCATTGTTTTCCGACTCGGACAGTGGCGCACACCCGCTGACGCTCGTGTCCATGGGGCTTGCTTCTTGCTGCCTCAGTCTGTGTTTACCTTCCTTTCAATGCGTACCCAGTCCCCGTCTCAAGCAAGCACAGCGTGCATCATCGCCCTTGCTGCATTGCTGCAAGCAGAATCAGCAGGCAGTGTACCCTCTACGGAAATTTGTAGACGCAGCTTGCATGTTCCTGAGTGTCTAACTGGACCGGCGCCACTTCCCGCGACTTGCTGTTGTCACCATCACCACACCTCGCACGTGGATAGCTAATCTTCACGTAGCAGGGCGATCCACATGAATTCCATCGAACATGCGCCATGGAGCTTCACGAGGTGACTGAGCTTCCCGCTGCGTCGCCTCGGCGTTCTGATCGGACCTGAATCAGGCAATATGAAAGTATTCAATGTGCCTTCCTTTCGTAGAGAGAAAGCTTGATCAAGCACCAGGCCTCTTGCTGCAAGCAGAATCAGCAGGCAGTGTACCCTCTACGGAAATTGTAGACGCAGCTTGCATGTTCCTGAGTGTCTAACTGGACCGGCGCCACTTCCCGCGACTTGCTGTTGTCACCATCACCACACCTCGCACGTGGATAGCTAATCTTCACGTAGCACGGCGATCCACATGAATTCCATCGAACATGCGCCATGGAGCTTCACGAGGTGACTGAGCTTCCCGCTGCGTTGCCTCGGCGTTCTGATCGGACCTGAATCAGGCAATATGAAAGTATTCAATGTGCCTTCCTTTCGTAGAGAGAAAGCTTGATCAAGCACCAGGCCTCTTGCTGCAAGCAGAATCAGCAGGCAGTGTACCCTCTACGGAAATTGTAGACGCAGCTTGCATGTTCCTGAGTGTCTAACTGGACCGGCGCCACTTCCCGCGACTTGCTGTCGTCACCATCACCACACCTCGCACGTGGATAGCTAATCTTCATGTAGCGCGGCGATCCACATGAATTCCATCGAACATGCGCCATGGAGCTTCACGAGGTGACTGAGCTTCCCGCTGCGTCGCCTCGGCGTTCTGATCGGACCTGAATCAGGCAATATGAAAGTATTCAATGTGCCTTCCTTTCGTAGAGAGAAAGCTTGATCAAGCACCAGGCCTCGCTGGCTCAGACCAAAGAACCGCCCGACGCGGTCCCCTGCCCTTGCGCCGGTGACTTCTGGTGAGCTCATCCCGGCGCCTGTAGAACCCCAGCCACCATGCGCCATTGCCTAGCTTCCGCTCCTTGCATGGGTTGGCGGGTGAATAGGGTTCGTCCACCGTGCTCACCCTTCTGCATCTTCCGCCGAAGTGGGGCTGGAAGACCAGGGACGTGCGCTTGCCACCCGGTGGATGCGACCTTGTGCGCCCCAGGCTTGGCAGAGCCCTCAAGGGCTCCCACCGGTCGGCGTTCTCCCGGGTGCGCAAAGGATAGCCCGGCGCAGTGGACGGGATGGAGGTGCCTCAGAAAAGCAAAAGCCGCAGATTGTGCTACCACACTGCGGTCATGCTATTCAGTCTGCAGGAGCATATAACACGCTTGCCAGGACACCTTTCTCGCAGACGCAGCCGAAATTGTCGAGCTGCTTGAGAGCGGCGCCTCGATCATGGTCTCTCATCCGGGGTACCATGTACACACAACTTTGAGCAGACAAGGTGCTCTTCGAGACGGTATGCACGGCGCCGTCACCTGAGCCGGCAAGATGTGCTGTTTCTAAGCAAAGGCGCATAGATAGCATGATGGCATCTCCCGACTAAGCCACAGCTACAGCCGGCTGAGTATGCTTCTCCTCTCCTCCACGCTGCGGTCATGCTTTTCAGTCTGCAGGAGCATATAACACGCTTGCCAGGACACCTTTCTCGCAGACGCAGCCGAACTTGTCGAGCTGCTTGAGAGCGGCGCCTTGATCATGGTCTCTCATCCGGGGTACCATGTACACACAACTTTGAGCAGACAAGGTACTCTTCGAGACGGTATGCACGGCAACCACCTCTGCAAAGGTGCCTGAGTTTGTCTATATTCGACACATCTCAACCATATAGTACCTCGCGCGCATTCGGTTATCTCTCTTAGCCCCGGCCAGGTCGCGATGGGGTACGGCCTCGCTTAGGAGACCGTTTGGCAAGTGATTGCACTCGGTTGCTCGGTGAATGATGAGAGCACGCGGACCTCAGCACAACAGCATGGTGTGCGTTTGTGCGCTAACCGCTTCACTGCGTAATCGACACGCAAATGCACAGCAGCTACGTGAGCTCAGTTCTGAACATTCCCAACCTGCGCTCGATGCGCCGAGAAAGAAGAATCGACCGATAGCAGCCTCCATTGTAGAGGGCTTACCTCAGGGCCAGCAACTGTATGCGTGCAGATCTCAGCTGAAAGATAGAACACCCGCGCTTCACACATTCAATTTATTCGCCACGATGCGACTAAAGGCGGTGGCAAAAGTATCGAGATGAATAGCTGAGAGCCAAGTGCTTCCACGTGAGCTCCATAGTGTCATGTTGGCCAACGACGCATACGGGCAATAAGACCCGGAACGTGAGTCTACCTCCCACACCCATGGCTCGGCTACCCATTGCTTTCACGACCCGTAGCTTCTTGGGACCATTGTTCCTGGACGAACAGGTAAGACTCGATGCAAATGAGTCTACCTCTCACAGCCACGGTCATTGCTACCCAGAACGTCAGCAGATCTGGCATAGCCATCAAGACCCGGCACGTGAGTCTACCTCGCACAGCCAAAGTCATTGCGACCCGGAACGTTAGCATGCCGGGCATAGCCATCAAGACCCGGCACGTGAGTCTACATCGCACAGCCATAGTCATTGCGGCTCCGCATGTCAGGTTACCTTGCACAGGCAATAAGACCCAGCACGTGAGTCTACCTCCCACGGCCATGGCTCAGCTACCAATTACCTTCACCACCCGTAGCTTCTTGGAACCCTTGTTCCTAGACGAACAGGTAAGACTCGATGACCCAGCAAATGAGTCTACCTCGCACAGCCACGGTCATTGCTACCCAGAACGTCAGCAGACCTGGCATAGCCATCAAGACCAGGCACGTGCGTCTACCTCGCACAGCCACGGTCATTGCGACCCGGAACGTCAGCAGACCTGGCATAGCCATCAAGACCAAGCACGTGAGTCTACCTCGCACAGCCAAAGTCATTGCGACCCGGAACGTTAGCATACCCGGCATAGCCATTAAGACCCGGCGTGTGAGTCTACATAGCAAAGCCATAGTCATTGCGGCTCACGTCAGTTTAACTTACGGGGCCCGTTTTTTTAACACCCGGAAATTTGTTAACAGCCAAACAGATATTTTTAGTGCATAAATATGAAAACATGCGGATTTAAACTGGTCTTTTACACCACTCCCGCGGCCGTTGCAGGTTGGCCGCCCTCCACTTATTTAAAAAACGTCACTGTGCCTTGCACAGACAATGTCGCTTAAGGGCTTTTAGGGATGAGGGCCTGATCTCTTTTTCTTCACGTGTTTGAAGCTCCAGCTGTACAAAGCACGCTGAGACTGCCCAGATTCCGCAGAAGTGAAAGGCACCGGTTTAGGGATTAGGGTTTTGCGTTTAAGGTTGGGGTTAGGGTTTAGGGTTTTGGGTTCAGGGATTAGGGTTTACGGTTTAGGGTTTGGGCTGGAGGGCCTGGGAAGTCCAACAGACGCTCCACCCCTAATCACCTCCCCTTAACACTAATCCCCCCCCCTAATTTGAAATAGTATTTTCCTCGGACCCTCGGTACCCAGCCCAATACTAAACCGGTTCGAGAATCGGGGGGGGGGGGTTGAGGGGCCTCCCCCCCTAGACCCCCCTAATTTTAAATAATTTCCGGCCAGACCGAATTTCAGAATTAGGGAGAGGGGGGTTAGTAATTATTGGGGGGACGCATTTAAACTCTAAACCATTGATGCTCAACAAGCTAGGCAGATCGGAGCGCCACGGCGCATTCAAGAGTTTCCCTTTCCCAGCGGGAAAGGGCAGTGGGCTGAGCCCGGAGAAAAAGAGATCGCATGGCCTCTTCACTGACACGTTAACCCTAAACCCTCCACCCTAAACCCCAAAACCCCAAGCCCTGACCCATAAACCCTAGACCCTAAACTCTGAAGCCAAAACCCTAAACCCTAACCACTTACACCTCAACCCTACACCCTCAACCCCAAAGCCCAAACCTCACACCCTAATCCCTAATCCCTACCCGAAGCCCTGCGACCTCAAGTCTTTGAGTGGGCTGACGAAGCAAGCGGCTGTAACAAAGGCATTATGGTTTTGGGTTGAGGGTTGGGGTTAGGGTGTAGGGTTTTGGGTTCAGGGACTAGGGTTTACGGTTTAGGGTTTGGGCTTGGAGGTCAGCTGCGCGCGCAAAGCACCTGCGCACGTGCAAGAGTAGCAAAAAGCTGCTCGCGAGAGCCGGATT